TGTGGCCCTGGGACTTCCATTTTGTGCATTTACTAAGGTATTCTGTAGACTGGAGAGGAGTGGATGTTTTATAACCAGCTACCAGCACTCACATTATACAGATTTTGAAATGTATACACAGGAGTAGACTGCGCAAATTCATAAGACTCCTCTGTATAGCAGACTCACTCTTCTGGGTATATTTGCCGTGGGAGCAGCACACAAGTAATGTATTCCAGCTTTTTTGCATCATTTATTACCGAGATATAAGATTCATTGGCTCCCTCCGTATTTTTGTAAAGCTTCGCTAATCTAATGTTGACCCTTCTTGCCTGGGGATTTCTGTCTTTGAGCAAAAAGGAACACAAGAACCCATACAAAAATAGAGTTGCATAGAGTGCTGCACAAATGCGTCATGAAAAGAGATCATAGAACAGGCATATTCATGTATTTACCACAAGAAGAAAGTCACTGCCACTGCAAAAACAGAAATCAAGCAGACAAAACGCCAGTCACACTTCCATTAACAGAATATTTTTGCAAAAGCTGCGTATTTTCTGCTCTGCACTCTGAAGACCCATAATGTTCCAACCAAAAAAAAAAAAAAAATCTGACTTTTATTAGCAGAAACAGAGCCATCTGCTGGCAAAAACAAAACCAAACCCATGACCAAAAAAACCCCAACAAAACCAAACAAACAGAAAAACACCAGTCATATGTTAAATCACAACTGTGTGTTCTGCTATCAAATCAAAAGATTACAGAAGTATTTCACACTCATTCATTCCCAAACTGAAATACTATTCAACCCACAACACTTTTGAAGATTTTCAGACCTGAAAGGTGCATTTTCAGTAATTTTCTTACATTTGTTTACACCTGATCTACTTTTAACATGTTTTAGACCAGGAAGCAGTGCAAGGCCCACTGTCACGACCTCAGTAATAGTCAGCAACTGAACTTCAAACATGTAAAAAGAGCTAGCAAGCTGCAGCATTCCTAAAGTTCTCATGTTTCTGTCCATAATTATCTGTAGACATGCTTGGGTCTACTCTCTTTACAACAAACCCACTTCAGGTCATTTTTTTTCAGATACCTCTAATCCTATGCAAAAAAACTCTGCAAGCAAGGTATGTATATAAAATACTTCATACTTTTAAGTAATGATATATGTGATAGCCACATGCAAAATAAAATTCACATTTTCCCCTTTCTCAGTATTCATGAAGCCAGGAAGAATGTTCTCGTGCCATTGCAATGAATTTCAGTGTTAAGCTATTCACTTTGGAGAAGTGCTCAAATACGAACAGTTAGCTTATTCTAACAGGGGCTCCAGCTTCCACTCCCCAAACAGAGCTTGAGATTACCTTATCATCATCCTTCCTCTGCAGAACAGAGAGAAATGCAGTCTTGATTTTGAGATAGAAGAACACAGAAAGTTTAGATCAGATGTTTAGTCTCAACTGTAACAGCTAATTACTGTCACTCCCTTGTAAGACTCCTGGGCTCCTACAGATTTACTGAGCAGAGGCTCCAATAAAGCCATGCAGGGCAATATACTCAGGTTTAGAAGCTTACTTCTGGCTCACAGATGAATTAAAACTTTTGCTCAACTACCATGTTAGTTGGACAGCCTCATTTGCACCAGGATTTGTTTCTAAAAATAATCACGCTAGTTAGAAGATGCAACTTTCAAAAAGTTTTAAATCATCTATATTTAGAAACTACTTGAGATTCTTCTTAAACCCCAAATCTGTGGTAGTTAATACAACCTCAGAGATACAAGTCCATGAATTTAGCAGTAGTTCACAGAGCATGTACAAATCACAGAAGACTGTCACTGCTGTTTGAAATGTTTTATCACTGTTAGCATGAAAAGAACTAATATCACCCAGTGAGACATACAGACAGTATTAGCTGCTAAATGTTGTTTAATGTGAGATACAAGCAGATATTAAAAAAACAAACAAACAAACAAAAAAACACAACAACAAAACCCAAGAAAAGAAACCAAAGGACACTTCACAAGAACAGATAGGTCTTCCTTTACAAGAATCCGTATAGAAGTTACACATCATATGGTGAATGGGACAAAGGCCACACTGAGGAGCATCTCATAGAAACACAGAACCATTTAGGCTGGAAGGGACCGCTTGAGATCATTTAGTCCAACCCCCCTGCTCAAGGAAGGTCAGCCAGAAGAGATTATTCAGGATTATGTCCAGTCAGGTTTTAAACAACTCCAAGAATGGTGGCTCCACAATTTCTTGGGCAATTTGTTCCAATGTTTGATCACCTTCACAGTTAAAAAAATTTCTTGTGTTCAGACGGAACTTTGTGTTTCAGTTTGTGCCCACTGCTTCTTGCCCAGTGAGCTGGGCATTAAGAAGAGTCTGGCTTCCCCCTCTTCAAGGCTTAGATACCCCCAGCCTTCTTTTGCTGGCTGAAAAGAGCTTCCCCAGCTCAATCAGTATGAAAGATACTCCAGTCCTTTGGTCATCTTTGTAGCCCTGCACCATACTCCCTCTAGTAAGTCTGTAATGCTCTTGTTCTGGAGAGCCCAGAACTGGACACAGCACTGCAGGTGTGTCCTCACCAGTGCTGAGTAGAGGGGAAGGATCACCTCCCTCAACCTGCTGGCAGTGCTTTGCTTAATGCAGACCAGGATGCTATTGGCCTTTTTTGAAAAAAAAGGTTTATTGCTGCCTTGTGGTCAGCTTGTCCTTCTCTGAAGAGCTGCTTTACAGCTGGGTGGCACCCTGCATGTTACTGGTGCATGGGGTTATTTGTCCCTGGATGTGCAGACCCTTGCACTTCCCCTTGTTGAACTTCATGAGGTTTCCATTTGCCCATTTCTCCATCTTGTCAAGGTCCCTCTGAATGGCAGCACAACCATCTGGTCTACCAGCCACTCCTCCAGCGCACAATCTATTCCATCGTTCAGGTCATTAATGGAGAGGTTGAACTGGTTTGGACCCAGTCTTGATCTGTGGGGTACAGCACTAGTGACTTGACTCGAACTAGACTTTGTGTTTTGATCCTCTGCGTCCAGTCATTTGGGCAGTTTTTAATTCACCCTCCCTGTCCTAATACCTAACACACACTTCTGCAGCTTGTCTGTGATGATGTGTCAAAGGTTTTACTACGTAAAGGTAAACATCTACTGTTCTCTGCTATCTATTGCTGTATCTGTTAATTTAATATTGCTATGACACAAGCTAAATGGGTAAACTTACCCAGTTCTAAATATTTAGTCTGTCTCCTCATCATTGTGCTGCTCCTCCTAAACTAGAGAGGGTAGTCTATAACAAGTCATAGGCTAGATTATAAATTGCAACAGCCTTTAGCATTAACTGTAATTTTACACCATGGTAATACTTCCTTCCTTCTCCACCCTAATAACCACTCCAGTACAACTAAGAGTGCTGATAACTTCTCCTCAGAAGAGGAAGCTCCTGTTGCTCCGCCCCACAAGTTTTGTAATCTGCACAATCACATTAAGCAGCAGAAACTGTAAACTATGATCTCACAGCTTAAGACAGAGCAAGAGAAGCAAGTTCGGCTACCATACTGCACGTCTTTACTATGATTAAGTGATTTGCTATACCCCACACAAACCATGTCAGGGCTGGAAACTGAATTTAGAGTTTTGGGCCATGTTCCCAACCTTTACGGAAAATCAGTATTTAGTTGTTTCAAGGGAAGTTACCCACCTTGCTATGAGCCCATTTATCAGCAAACTATGTTATCAGGAGACATTCAACTAAATAGAACAAGTATAAATTCAGTTGTTGTATTCCACCCCTTTCCTCCTCTGCCTCAAAAGCCATGAAGTCTTCTGCTTTCAGGAGGTATAGTGTATTTTGCTTTATTTCCTGAATAGTTCTTGCTAAATAGTTATAGAGGATCCTTTTCAGTTGTATACTTAATCTCTACCTAGTTAAACAGCTGCATTTAAAGAATTAGATGAAACGTGACCCATATGCCACAATCCTTTGCTGTAGCACCTGTTTAAAAATCTTGGTAGAGTCAATGAGTAGAGTCCATGTAACCAGATGAAAAGGGCACACGTGGCCATGTAAGAGTGACATGCATAGCCATAGCACATCTGTTATGCTATAAAAATAAGAGTTTTAGTAGCATGCAATGCATAAATCAAAAGGAACAATTAAAGCTGTATTTTCCTACATTTGATGCTTGCATACATATTCTTTGCTAGCTTTCAGCATCGTGCTTCTTGAGAAGCCTAAAAATGACATCGCGTACACAGAAGTAGTAAGAAAATAGGTTTTATTTTCAAATTTTATAGAAAAATGTTAACAATGCCTAAAGAAAGCAGCTGGACAGCAACTTTCTGTATATAATCCAGATCGAAACTCAGGCACTTAAATTAACAAACATTTTGCTGTTACAAACCCAGCTATCCTATAATAACTATTTACATTTTTCTACAAATACTAAAAAGTGAACTTATGCCATTAAGATAAGATGTAAAAATATTTTAAAAACATGTCCATACTTGCACATTCCCAAGTGTATCTACAGTCAAAATCCCCAACTAAGGCACTAGCCCAGATTATCCACACATTAAAATAAGTCCATTTTAAACATCCACAGTTCCCTTTAATATACCAAGTTACTTGTTTTCTCCCACTACAGTCACACTTAGGTGTTACTTTATAAGCAAAGGGAAATGGAGCTCACAGTCAGCCCAGTTCAGCTCATTTTTCCTCATTTTTTGATCAGTATTCCACTTTGTTTCACTTAAGTTATAAATTAGACATTTAAAATTAGACTGCAAATTTAAGTGTCACTTTTTTTGATATACACAAGGGAATACTAAAAAGTATGTTTAGCAAGTTAGAGAACACTACACATTCATAAATATTTTAAGTTGTTCAAGAATTGAATATGATCTTTTATATTTAGGTAATGGTGTACAAGAACTTTGGTACAAGTGTTGTAGCAGTGCTTATTCTTACTGGCTTCTTTAGAAAGCCTGCGATTTGCTCACGATTTACGTGTGTATAGCAGATACCATTTCTGAATCCTTTTGTGACAGGGCTGCACTTGCTGGTGGAGGCTTATACAAACATACTGCCGTGACCATAAAGATGATTGTGATGATTTTGCAAGCAGCACCTGAATGCAAAGAATAGAAGAGTCCTTGTTGCAGTCACCTTCAATAGTAGACAAGAGTACTTCAGTAATTTATGAAGTTTCACATGCTGAGTTACACTGTAAGACTTTTAAATGGATGCTATGAATTTCAATGTATTTTACATGAACTGCAAATGTAAAGGCAGTCTTCTAACTGACTTCAGTCTTCACCTGCCTGCCAGTTCTTGCTTGCAGCAGCTCTTGCCACTACTTCAGTTCTGTATTTCTTCACCCTATTCTAGCCTGAAGTGCAAGTCTTCCTTATTTCTTGTTTCAGTACTGTTCTTCATTGCATCAATATTCTCTTTGCCACAAACTAGAACTCGCCACATACAAACCTGTTAAGTATTCTCTCCTCAGCTACCTTAAAATGTTATTCCATTTACTCATCACTGGTACTTAGTGCTGCTTCTGCAACTTGGCAGGGGCAAGGAGCGGGGGTAAAAAAAGGAGGGATTGTATTTCATCACAAATATGCCTGCAAGATACTGAAACCTGAAGTTATGACTCCTGCTTTTTCAGTTTCAAGATTAGATGTTAGCAGTTCAGTTTATGCACTGTAAGTATCACAGTTGCTAGAAGACAGGACAACAGCAGCTATCACAGATGCAAGCTTAGCCTGCCTTCCCTCCCCTAGACATACATACCTCACACACTTGAAGGGAACAGATTGTTAAACAAGTTGGGAAAATTCTTGACTAGTGTTCAGAGATATTTTCAAGATCTTGATATTAATTTAGGGAAAAGAACTGAAATATGACAAGAGGAAAAAAGCTCCTCAGACCTTAAGCTGCCAACAGACCAAACCAGATAAGACTGAAATGTGTGCCAATCACTTAAAATTCAATAAATAAAGTGCGACAATAAAGAAAGAATGAAAAGCAAAAAACTGTTTTGTATTACTGTTATTAAAAAAAGTTTTCTAGGTCATTTTTAAGAACCACTTAACGTGGTCTTGCTCTTTCCAAGATATTTTGCTTTTTATTATTTATGAAAAAAAAGGTTTTTTTAGAAAACACTGCTGCTAAAAACATAAAAGTTTAAGATTCTATTTTAAAATAATTCCCATCTAGCAGTCAAGGTCAGTGTATCTATTACCTTGTACATGTACTTAATATGAAGAAGTCACTTACTTATGCCCATCAGCAAATAAGCCATTCTTTCATTGTCATAAACCCAACAGGCTCCTTTAGTTTTACATTCATTAATATCCCACAGAGTACAACTGTTGTCTATAGCAACACCAAACAAAATTGGTCCAGGAATAGTACCTAAAAACCACAGCAACATGTTAGAACGTTTGAGTTACTTGAAATAGTCTTACCTGGTCTTAATGCATACAGTGAAATGCCAAGCTGGTGGGGAAAATAAAATGGGATAGCCACACACTAAACATAACATTTTAATCAAAGGGCTCATATTACATAGCAAGTGTGCCTCTTCCATGGCTCTCAATTAATAGGTAGGATGCATGAATGTCAGTTAATTATCTATACAGCTCTCACTTTATCAACCAAGAAGTTTGTTCTTGTTTGAGCTTCTTTAACTTCCTCAGTTTTCATTGGAAAAGAAAAATGTGATTAAAATTAGGGGGAAAAACAGCTAATCAAGGAAGCAGGATTTTAACTGAAGGAAAAGAAATCCCTTTTCTCAGATCATATACATTAACGTGTTCCAAATGCAGAGAACTAAAATATTATTATGTTAACATGTTCAATTATACATTTTTTTCCATCCCTCAGATGTAGCCAAGCTTCTAGGAAAAATTTCATGTAAAGTGAATAGTGTTTAAAATTATTCCTATGTAGAATTTTAGATTTGTGTGATTTTTGTAACAATAGTGCTTTATAAAGCATAAGTGTTTTGCATCCAGGTGTAGTCAATTTTATTATAAACACTCTAGGTACATCACTGCATGTCTACCTAACCTACTCAAGGTCTAAACTGTTCTTGAGCTAACAAGCAACTATGTCCTCACTACAGCTCTTCTGTCTAGGACCCCTCTATGATACCTCAGGCCTACAGAATAAATATCTTGTTGGTAGTAATGCTGTTAGTTGCTGCCTTCTTCAGCCACAGACAGTACAGGCAGTGGAAAAAGTTCTCCTATCCTCTGCTCCATAGTGAAGTCAAGAGTTAAGACTCTGCCATAGATATCTTAACTTTGAGGAAAATGAAACAGAGGAGCCCTCATACAACACTTAACACTACCTCCCAGCTAATTTCTACCTGTGAGGATGCTTACTCTTGTAAAGCTTTATTGGTAGAAGGACTTAGATTAATTGGAGTTTCAATAGGTACAGCAAAGCAGAACTCACACGGCTAGATACTTGATCTCAGATGGCATGGAATTGATGCAGTAATAAATATTGACATAAAAGTCTACTCAGTAACTGAGCCTTGACCCAGTCTTAAACTACACATGCCATTTAAAAAGCGTCTAAGACAAAACCAAGAGTTTAAAATATACCTGAGAAAATTCAAATGAGTGGGGTTCAGAGAATACCTACATTTAGCTTTATGTTTTAAGGTGATTTACCTGCCTTACTGAGATCCTGGAGATGCTTAGATTTAGAATTTAAGTAGTAGATGTCCCACAAAAACTCAGTAATTATTTATGTACAAGTGTCTACAATTTCAATAAAGGCTAAAATTAGTCAAAGGAATTGAAAAGGAAGGGAGAAGAGGGAAGACTCCACCTGTCCACTTTAAAATATTGGCATGGCCAATAAGGATACAACTGTATGACACAATGTCACTTTCTTTTAACTTCTGGAACTTGAGATATTAACTACATGAAGCTGTTTTCTACTACATCACTTTTTCTTATCTCAACTTTCAGAATAGGCCTCCTTCTGGGAGAATTGACAGCAGGTGCCTTTTGCTGAAAGAATGAGTTACCTGTATTTTGTTCGATAAGAACAAGAAAGGCTAAAATGAGCACACGTGCCCTATTTAAAGAGGAATTTGAATCCAGATGGCATCTGCCTCATAACAAGCGTATTCTATAAGCCAATGACAGGTTCCTTCAAGCCCCTCTGAATGCTTCTTAATGCATTTTTTTTTTTTTTAAGTCTAGAAAAACGTCAAAGTAGATTATGCAGAGGCAAGTGTTTCAACAAGAAAGTCATACCCAGTAGTCGTAGAAACACTGACTGTACTCCAAGAGCAAATGAGCGCTGTTTATCTGGCACACACCTGTAAACAAGATTTGCAGTTTAAGACTTGGTAAACAAGCTTCTGCTGTTCCATTTCTCTGCTTTGTCCCTCAGTGAATATGCTTTGTCTTAATACACTCTTTTAACCTGTTAATTGCAGAGGGTTTTAGAAATCCAATGTGCAGAACAAGTAACCAAAGAACTTCAAGAGGTGTTTTGACAAAAGCAACTCTTATAGCTCATCAAGTAATTTTAGATTGAACTAGTTTAACCAAACAGTAGAAATAAAAAGCTAGTTTACCAGCAGGACCCTGATACACTGTTGAACATCTTTTCCACAGAACCACCAGGGATTTAAGGACAGTGCTAGAATGTAGTCCCGAGCTACTATTCCTAAAGAAGCAATACATGAATTGAGACTAGGCTTCAGCACAACACAAGGTGTTATATTTCCCATAACATTTACATATAGTCACCTGACCTTACAATTAATCAGTTCTGGCCTATGCTATACAAATCAATATATTGACCTGTACAGAATTTACCTCCTTCCCATTTCTTTCAGATAATCTCTAGCAACAAATGTTTTATCCTGACAATGTCTTAAAGATACTACCATAAAGATTAAATATAACCTAACTTAGTTAATTTATACAATTTAATTTCAGCACTGTTTTCTTTAATAAACTGTATCATTGAAGCACTGTCAGTGCTAAAAAAGACAGCATTTAAATATTCAGGAGTTATTCCCTCATTCTGGAGTATGTATGAGGATTAGCCATAGAAAAACATCCAAGATGAGCAATTATCAGCAGTCACTGTTAGGATCCCCCTACCATAAAGGCAAGTAGAGGAAGGAGAATGAGTTTTGCATAGTATGGCTGGTTGTTTCTAGCACTAGAACACTGTCATGAACACATGGGTTTACACTTGAAGTTGCACAAAATGGGCCCGCTGAAAAGATATCGAATACACTGTAGTAACTTACCTCACATTTAGTATTTAAATTAGGTTTTGCACATTTAAACTGCTTCTACAGTCCTCTCTTCCATAAAAACTGTTTCACTATTGCAGTTGAAGTGTACAAGGATTCAAAATTCCAAATGTTATTGCTTAGAATTCTCTAAATAAAACTATGTCAGCGCAGTTTTGAAGATAATGCAACTCTTCACACTATTCTGCCTCCACACTAATATGACAAGCTGTTAATTACACCAACCCTGAACAGGAGGCTACTACAAAGCACTGTTGCAGTGTATTACTCCCCTCCCCAACCCCCTGCCTAGAAAGTTGGAAAAAGAGCATCTAACCACACTCTCCCAAAGCATCATGTGTATACTGCATGTATGCCCAGGCATCATTAATATTTTCTCTCTAGAAGTATTAGAGGTACAAGTCAGATTTCAACATAAAGTGAAACAGCTGTACTTTCAGAATGAGGACCACATATTAAAAAAAAAAAATGTATCTAAGCTTTCATGCATTGAGTTTCAGCAATTTGAAAGACTGTCAAACCACTGGTTAACAGCCACATACATGCTGTCACATTTTATATTATGACTACCACACATACAACATCAATATCATACAACAGGTAGTCTACAGTTCTCAACAGACTGCAATTTTGCAAGTCAGAACTCTGAACTGAGACAGGAATCAAAGGTTGGGAATATGAGACTGATTCGTATTTAGTTCTTTTCCTGGTACTACTGATACATAGGCAAGTTAAATATTTTCTTCATCCAAGCACGTGGCACATTTATTCCTTCTTGCTTTGACTAAAACAATCAGCAGTGCTCCCATAAAACAGGGATTTTGCTACAAGTAGGAAAGATTTTTTTTTTTTAGTAGAGTCAAACAGTATCTAACCATATGTAACGACAGAGATAGCGAACAGTGGTATGACTGTCCTCTGCTTCAAGTACTGCCTGCTTACTACACAAAGTACTGCAACAGGAAATCCCTTGCACATTGGTTTAAGCCCACATTCCAAAGCAAAACAAGTTGGAGTATTTCACTGATTTTTCAAAAGAATGCTCCCCATTTCTCAGCCCAAAAAACATACCTGAGAATGGCCACAGTTGTTGGAGTAACAGCCATGAATGTAAAAACAACAGCAAAAAAGAAGAAGATCAGGAATAAAGGTAAAAATTTGCATTGTGTTGGACATTTCCCAGGGACAGCTTCATAGACAAAGTCTTCTGAACCATTTTCTCTTTTTGGTTTCCCAATACAGGAACAGTTGTGGTACATCTACAAGTAATTTATAAAACAAAATTTAGCTTTAAGAATGCCACTAAGTGATACTAATATGATAGATGTTCATTGGGTCTGGATCACACTGAATACAAGAATAAACCCTAACTTTACAGTATGGGAAACAGTTCATTTCCTGATGATCATGACACTGTAACCCTCACTTTTAAAACTGGTTCAGCAAAAAGCTCACTTGAGCAAAAATTATTTTTGGTTTTGTGATCTAAAAAGACAATGATAGCCTCTATTTTGTGTGGAGCAAGTTTTTAGGTACAAACATAAAAAACCTTAAAACTAAAGAAAAATTTAGAGTTAGAGGAATGACCATATGCAGTACATATTATACAAAACCACCAACAGAATAAGCCTTGAAATGCTAACTTTTGCACTCGAATCTTAAGAATCAGTGAAGATAACACCAGTTACTGTATAGAATTAAGAAAGGGCAAGCTCCAGTGTTCAAAACCATTTTTTTAATATCAATTTATATAGATATAAAAAATTTTGACAATATAACTTTCAAACAAATCACCTCTTTGAAAACATTAAACACTATTGAGGGTGTCAAGGGTTGGCAGAAGGGAGTAAATGTCCCTTTTCTCTTTCCCCATGAGACTGGTTTCATTTGCAAAGTGTAACTTCTGAAGAAAGGGTAGCCAAAAGCTTCAGTTCCCTTACAGAAGACAGTATCTCACATGGTTCTCAAAAGTCATTTTTCCAATACTGAAATAAGCTAATATTAACTGTTACCTAGTTTATTAACCCAAGCTGATTATTTCTGTACAATTCAAAAGTTATACTCCAAAGATCTTTAACTGTCTTGACTACTAAAAAGCGTTACTTGAACAGGGTTCATTCTTTAGATTCACCTCTACTTGTGCCGTTATTTCATCAAGCCTTATTCTTCAAGCTTAGATAATACATATCCAGTTACAACAGTAGCAGAACAAACTACAACAGTTCACATTCTTCAGAGATGCTGGCAAGTCCCAGATCACCTAGCTTGACACTCTTGGCTACAAACAGGACGGTTTTTACACTGGGCTGTCCTTGACAGGAAGAGAGGTGAGCTCTACTCTTAAATCTTAAGCAGGAAGGAACAGAAACAATGTTGGACTGCTTTTGTAAGCAGGTGAACAAATAGAACAGTTTTATGCTCTTCATTTAAATTCACCCAAGTTTGTTTTCAAAGAAAAAGAAAACATTATCAGTGAAGTGTGAAGTTTTCACAGCAAGAAGTAGTCAGTCTCCTGCATTTTCTTCTAGATAATGCCTCCTCTCATTTACCATTGTCCTTTTCTGATATATGAAGTCCCCAGAGGCACCCTGGGGACTGGTTTGACTTGCCTACCTTAAGGATCTTCCTACACTCCTCCCACATCACTGCTCAAGACTTTATTGTACTAACAAAGACAAGCACAGAAAGTCTCTCAGTCCTGGGAAGGCTCGATAATAAGCAGCCACTTTCATGGCTTACCATTCCTACATCAGGGGCAACTGACATTCAAGGTTTGGAATCTCACAGAAGCAGGTTACCATGCATGCAATAAACATGACATTATGCTTGAAGATCTAGATAAGAACTGCAGTTTAATGTCAAGCAGTTGCTGATTTCTACTTTTCTGATTGTCAAGTCTATTTAAAGTATGTTGAGGTTTAATGTATTTTCAGCATTAGAAAGTTTAGTAGAAGTTAACATTTGCAACATGACACTGCACAAGTGAGAAACATACTGTGACTGACCAATAAACCCTACAATGGAAGAAGGCCTAGAGGAGATGGGAAAGGGTGATGTGCCCATGAAACTCAAGAACAATGCAGGCTGTGAGTGACCACAGCTGCTGCAAAGAAAGCTATGCACAAAGAAACAGCTATGTCAGTTGAGTGGATCAACTGGTGGTGTAAATGTTTCTTGAGTTCATTAAAAGAGTGTGAAAGTCTCCCTGAGTTAGCCAGACCAGCATGGGAGGAATGTGGTTCTGCCCAACAGAGAGTATAAAATAAAGCCAGACAACTAGCGGAAGAATTTCAAAGACAGCAATGGGCCTGAGCTGGCTTCAACCCATGTATGCCTTCCCAACAACTGGGGAGGCCCAGCATCTGATGGTGGGCATGTTATAGAGACCAGTAATGGGAATCACACTGGTATTGTGACTGAACTGTGTATTGCAATTGCTATATTTTGCTAAGCGTAACTTCCATTTGTATTGTGTTTTCAGTATCTTTTGTATCACTCTGCTGAATCTGAAATCCTGTGTAACATCAACTGTCATCAACTAAATAAATTTGATATTAAACATTTACACTTCCACAAGTGGAATATCTAAAAGCACCTAGTCAGAGAGTATTGGACTGACACATACCAACATTCATCCTACTCAGACATGTGTTTCCAATCCACACCAATTTTTCCTGCAGTAAGTACCACTTAGATTCAGAAATAATGCCATTTCCTGTCATACTAAGGGAAGAATGTTTTCAATATAGAATGCATTTTGCAGGAAACCAGAACAGACCATGTCAGCTATCTTCATACCATAAAGTACCTTTTTCATGTTGTTAAAAAGATGTGATGCACATCCTGCAAAACAGGGAGAAAAGTACTGGACTTCATCTCTGCCACAAACTGGGTAGTACATAGACCGCAAACATCTGCAGTTAGCATTGCATGGCGCTGTTAAGTTATTTAGCATGCCTGTTCTGAAAGGTGAAAGTTAATAAGCTTTAATAAAGTAATTTAAAAACAGAAGATATGTAACTAAGTAATGCAGTATTTACAGGATAATAAATCTCAAAATATTCAATTCAGGTGATTTACGCACTTAATTGTTTAAAAATAAGCCATGTTCCTAGTAGTTACAACTCTAGAGGGAATTCCCATTTATTCTGTACCTAGTTATTTTTGTGCTCATATTACTTCCATAGATTATTCCTCCAATTTTCATTCACAAAACAGATGATGAAATTCTGTGTCCCAACCCAATTTTTACCTTACATCATCTCCTCTCTCTCACACACTTACACACTTGAATTTGTTCAATTTACAGTTTTAAGAAAAAATGCAACAAGATTAAAAGCAGTATTTGCTGTTGTTTATTCTACTGATCATATTCTGAGTTTTCTTCTGTTTTAGATTCAAGTCCAGCTGCAAACCCACTGCATTTTTACTATTTTTAACAATGCTGTGCAGACATCTAGATTGTTCCAGCACCAAGACAACTGCACATGCTAAATGCAGAGTGCTATGACATAAAAACAAAGTCTTACCACACCCAAAACGACCTTCAAGATTTTCTCTGGCTGTTTAGGGAATAACTAATGAAGAACAGAGTTCAGTTTAACTCTTGCTTAGTATAACGACTCTCAATGTAGGCATTTACTTCCAGTATAGGCCATAGTATGGTTGTATTTGAAGTAATCCCACTATATTATTAGTATTGAAAATCAGTTTGGGATGCGGGGGGACCTTCTTAAGATATAGTTGAAGAGAATAAAAACACCCTTTGATTTTCTAATAGTAGTGCCTGTAATAAGTAAAGAAGCTTCACAGGTTAAGAGTTCAGTCAGCTGAAACCAGGATACTGACACTACCGGTAGTTTAAATATTGAAATGTAAACTGAAATTTCTGGTTTCATTACCTAAAAGGCAGGTTTCTTCAAGAGAATTTAAGATGGTCACAAATACTAAAAGGAGAAATAATTTATCTAGGAATTAAGCTGATTACTTACATAGAATTCAAACTGCACAGGGAATATTAGGGACATCATAACTACCTATATACTTCATTTGGTTGTAGTACAGTTGAACCCTACTAAGTTACATTAGTCCATTCTTCATACATAGAAGAAAAAAAGTGAGTTTGCTCTAGCTTAAAGCACTACAGTGCACCATAAGGAAATTCACTTACCACACATTTGTTGATACAGTGCCTTGTTAGCCTGAGGCATGTCAAGCCTAGAAGTATTTAATCAATTCAATGGCAACATTTGTCCTGTTTACATATGCAGACAATGTCTCTCGTCCCTGATTTACAAAGAGGGACTGAACCTTTAGTTATGCATGGTCAGAGAAATATTAAAATACAGAAGAAATACAGTTCAGTGTACATAGGTTCTTATGAAATGGAACTTCTTTTTCTAATAACATCACTTTTCTAAAGAAGCCTAGTAGATAAGGCCATTACATGGTCTTTGAAAGCTCTACAGGTTGGGGATTTTTTCACAGCAAAACAAAACACAGAGTCCCAGAGACTGGTGGGAGTGAACAGAACTACAGAAATAGTCGCTGCATTTCTGTTCCTTCAAGTTTTCAAGGAAATACTGGGCAAAATAATTTGGGAAAAACAATTCTTTGAAGTGTTTACTAGATGAAATAAGCCACGTTAGTTCTGCTTATAGCCTAATTTAGTAATAAACAGAATTACTACAAACAATATACTTTGTTCATTAACATATGAACTCGGAAGTGATCCTGTACTCATATGGTTCTGGTACTAAACTTACAAAAGCTTTTCCCACCCTCCTACCTCCCAGCTATTTTTCAATAGAAAGAGAATGCTTGCCACAAAGGATTTCTTCAAAGTCTCCAAAAAATGAATTTGCGTCAATTTCCAAGTCAACTCTCAGAGCACTCTCACAATTTATTCTTTCAGAAACATTTGTTCAATAGCATAAGCAGGAGTCAGACACTTGGCTATTCTTCCACAAGCTTATAGATTTGTTAAAGCTACTACTACATACTTTAGTTGCTTACTCCTTAATGGAAAGCAGTTTCAGAACTGGGACTGTATTAGTGCCACTAACTATTCTGATGCAGGTCACACATCCCACAAACTATAGTCCAACATGTAACTGTGAATTAGATAAAACTGAAACATTTTTTATAATGGATACTGAGTGGAGAGTGTTATCTCAGGATTGGTTAACTCCAAATTGCCATAGATAAGAGGTCTTCAGCAACCGTTAAACTACCTAACTGCCAAAGTTACACAAAACTATTAAATACAAGTTAACTGCATTTAACTTAGGATGAAAATCAGTTCAGCTGTACATTTTGTCAGCTGCTCATTATCATAGGACTTGGTATAGAAATATGGATAGCTTCACATACTATTTTCTATACAACCTCTTCAGTATTCAATTGCTACATACAGATTCTTTTGCTGAACAGGTAACTATAAACTTTCCACAACCAAAGTCTGCATCCTAGTTTTCACAGTTCTGAAGTGTCCACAGTAATCTTACTGCTAGCATTTTTTCAGACACTGAAGCACTGCCATGTTTGAAGTGTCAAATGTCAACACTGGGCTTTGAATATACTGTCAATTGATACAGCAAGTTGTAAAGATGGAATCAGAATGAGTGGTAACTTGGGCTTTAAGGATTTTTTTTTTTTTCCAGTCACCAGTGTATGAAATTTGGTTTATTCATTTTGTATGCCTTCTGGAAAAGCAAACACAAATAAATGGTTAAGGTATCATGGCATTAAATTTCTGCTCTGTTAGAGAACTGGAAGCCTGACTGCCTTCAATCACTACTGCTTCCAAGCCCTCTGAATTTCTATCTCATTAACCTCAGGTTATCTGTTTTACTGTTTTCACATTTACCTAAATGAGAGACCTGAAAAATATCTGGTTAGTCTTTCATGTCACTCTTTTTGGGAAAATTTTGTAATATTTGTCAGTTATGTTTATGTCAATGATTCCCTTAAAGGACCTAGGAAAATTAGTACCCTTCATATTCTGTGATATTAGTTGCCTCCATAAGTAAGATGTGACTTTCCTGTGTTCTTCTACATGTTAAATGTTCATTTTAAGTTAGTCAAAAAGCATGATAAATATCAAGTGAAGAAACTGTATAAGCCTAACCATAGATTAGATGCTTATTTTTTCCTCGAAGTATTACCAACTTGCATGTGCATTAAAGGCTACAAAACCAATCTGTCCCCCAACACATCTTCTGCATTTTCATGGTGCACTTCATGCTATTGTGTCAGTAAAGTGCAAAGATCCTCTTCCCCATCCTATTAAGGTTCAAATGCCTTTTTATGCATTGGAGTATAACTTAGAAATTCTGTTTTTGTACAAGATAGTGGTAGCTAACCCTTTTATAAAATGGGGGATTTAGGGAAAACAACAAAAAGGTATTCGTAAGTTATATTCACCCAGTTACACAGCACACTGCTCATGCTTATGATTTTTACAAATGGCAGCTAGCAGTCCCTAGCTACCAGCCTGCTAGAGTTATTTTGCACAACAGCATCTGGCTCTTTGGCAGACCCTCAAACAGCTGGAGTTGCCTCTGGCTCCGTTAATTCATGACAGAGTAACTGACCACTTGAGAGCACAGTTTTGGCACAGCTAGCTGCCTTCCTCCTGCTTTTAAATACTGCTCATGCTACAGAAATGTGTACTATTTAAAACTATGAGAATCGAAACATTATAATCTTACAGTTAATTCCTTATAAGGCATGATTGGGCATTTTATACAACATAGTGCCTATGCTGGTGATTTGATCACATACATTCAATACTGAAGTTTTAAAAGTGGACCTAGAAATTCATTCTCTAAAGAATACTTATTGTTGCAGATATTTACTTTGAATCTTGGTTCATTTTTACTGTCACTTTTCTGACTTTTTATCCCACTGTCATACTGGTTTCCAGAGTAAGCTTTGCTCACAGCAACAGGAAGAACATTCATCCTAGAATTTTTATTACACTTACTACAAATATCTAAAAATGAGTGATAGACTGCATTCTCATTATGAATGAGAATTGTGCTGTTTAAGGGAAAGAAAAGTACAAATTGTTTAGAGAAGTCTTTCCTATACATGTTAGCCAAAAATACTTTGAATTATGTTTCAGTGAACTGTTACTCCACCCATTTTATTCTTCAACTCGGGTCACTGAGCTACACACTCTTTGCATTAAACTTCTACCTCTATCAGCCATTTTACCAGGAAAAGAGAAAGCATCTTTCATAATGGAGGCTAGATGTGCTTGAACCTGATGCTACAATGATGTCTGTTTTTCTAGGGAAAAATTGCAATCAGTTTAAGGTGCAATGCAGCGTATGCTCTCTCATGAAATTGTTGCACATGGCAGACTCTTTTCAGGAACAAACTGCCCAGATTGTCAGGAGTTAGTTAACAAAACAGTTAATAAAACGAGATACAAAAGACACACTACTTCTACAGAGATACAAAATTAGCTGTAAATACCATGGCTACTACACCTAGAATGGTGCAGAAGCTGGGAATTTTTTTGTGAAGCAGGTCCAGTCTGCTCAGAACATTTTACAGCATTTTCTTAATCATCTATTACATAAAGATTCCATGAACAAGGTTTTGGAGTTCCATAAAACATTTCAGTTTCATACATCAAGGCAAAATATGACATTTTTAAAGGTTTTGTATTCTGTGATGTAGCTTATTTATTTTAAACATTAACACCAAACCCAAGAGTGCATTAAAATATATTTACCCATTATATGTTTCAGAGACACCTGCGAAAGGTTCATTGCCACATTTAGAAAATAAAAACACTGTGTTTAATAGTAGGGCCACTGAACAAGTGCCTATCATGAACTTGATTATGCTTTTGCAATCCATTTTGCACTTGGAAACCAAGATGCCACTTATGATTTGGCCTAGTGCTGCTGCTGGAATTAATACAAGCCCTAGAGGAAAACAAGACACCAGCAATTACACAAAAATGCAAAATATAATTAGTGAAGCAATTTAGAGTGCAATTTTATGTTAAGAAAAAAAAATCACAACAGTCACTTGTATCTTAAGATGCAGTCCATGTGATGTCATTTTCAAACCATCTTACCAGAATCTGTCAGCATGAGTGATTTATTCTACCCTTACATTATCTTTAGCCTTTCCAGAAGTTCAACTTGACAGTGTAAGTTATTGTTGTCCAAAACCCAAGTTCAACACAGCAAAACTAGATTACTTAAGAGTACTACGTACTGGGTAGGAATCCCTGAACACCAGTACGCTGCTTCATGAAAACAGAAAATGCTTTCATTTCTTCAGTGTTTTTTTTAAATGTCTATGTTCTTTGTTACATATTTGTGTTATGAACTTTTTAACAAGAGAACACAAACACTATTATACAAGAGACAGCACAAGATACAATAAGGCATCTACAGAAAGATTTTAAAAACTCCAGATCGGTGGGTGAGTTTTGCTGTCATAGTCCATAATAAGTTATCCTCTTTGCATTATTAGGACTCCAGATACCTAACTGAGTATTCTTATATGGCTAATCTACAATACAACACAGAACTCATTGTAACTTGCACTGACCTGAGATAGCTAATTTTAAAGACAGTTCAGGTACAGTGGCAGAACTGCAGAGGCTACCATAGTCAAAGGTAGTTTAAACAGTTAACATGGTCATTGGTAACACTTAGACTAGCTAGCTCAACATTAGTTCAGGTACAGCTAGCTTTCAACATTAGTGTAGGCATTTCTTTAAAGCTATACATTTGATTAATACTATCAATATTTTCAACTCAAATTAAAAAGAAATTCAGACAAGTTCTATAGTCAAAAAAGGAACATTCAGTTTTCTACTTCACTGCTGATTACTGTTTAACAATTGAGCATGTATTCCAAGCTATTTCTATGTAAAATTTGCAGATACTTTGTTCTGAAGTGATGATGTCTGAATAGTGATAGCACTATCTAGTATTACCCAGGGGAGTAAGTCATTCAGAAAGTCTCTCCCAAACATTTGTTGGAGAAGGAGCACTTCAACAAGCATATGCTTACATTGCAGCACTATACAGCTGAAGTAATTTAGCAAGACATGTTCCAGAAGTATTAAGTCTGCCCTATTGCAAGCATCTGTTGACCTATCTGCCTTGATCTGGTTGCTGTTCTTCAGAAGTAATTGTGTCAGAGTTAATCATGTGACCCTACCTAGTGCAGCTCTTCCGTCAGATTTTTCTATTAATTTCTCCAATACGCAGCTTTTCCTAGCCTTCCCCTGTTCTACCTATTACTTTTGCATATCGGATAATAGGAATGACAGTAAGCCAACTATAGAAGCAGTTACACAATAGTTTTATAATATATTCTGATTAGTCATTTTATTGTAAGCTATCTCACTGTAACATTACGATGGAATTGAAGAAGGAAAAGGCCAAGTCAAGCCCTTAATTGCGGTAAGCACTGCTTTTTTTCCAGCTGCCTTTCATCTTGTTTCCTTTAGTAGGGACAAGGCTTAACGCTCTTTCAGCTGATTTTAAATGAGGAAAACTAAATGTTTTTCACCAAGAATAAGAAGGGAATAAATTACAGTTTCAGCAGCACAAAGTCCTCATTCTACTTTGAATATGAGTACCAAATCTTCTGAACTTACAGACGACAAGTAGCTTTGCACCTTGATGAATTAAGTACCAGGATTTTCATAGGGCACGCAAGAATAATATAAAAATACTGCTTCTGCTGTGAAAACTGCATTTCATATAAGTATATTCACAAACACGTCAAACAAACACAAGATGCCTATATAAGCTTCCACCTATAATGTTAATAAGGAGTTCAGCACAATATATTTAAGATTTAAAAATGAAAAGCCCCATTACCTCCAAGAGTTGCTGAAAAACTTGATGTCTTTCCAAACTGATTTTCTATGAACTTTGGTAGAAATGTGGCAAAGCCAGTGGCAACTAAAGCTTCTGAAGAACTGGCTATTATTAGACTCATAAGCACTGGATTCTTCAACAGTATCTATGGATGGAAATTGGAATAATGCTCAGGAAATTATTTCATTGTAGTACCATGTAAACTAGAACTATATTTTAAAGTAGATACTCTCATGTGGAACTTCACTAATACGTGCTTCTTGCTTTAACACTCCTAAACATCAACAAAATGAATATGCATTAAATTATCAGTAGCACTGGAGACTTCCCTATCATAACACAATTAAGAAGCATTTACCTTTCTAAACACTTATGTATTACCTGACACAGAATTTAATTTCTCAGAATATATCAATTTTAATAAATTCAAGATTTCCTTACCAGGAGAGCCATGGGAAAGTCTTTAAAAGTTTTTCCAATATCCTTGGTCTCAACAAGTGCCTCACTTCCATCATTATGAGTTTCAGAGATTTTTTCAGCCTGTATTTGTGCTGTTCCTACAAATGGGCATATTTATTGACAATGAAAACATTGAATACCTGTGCTCTTAGACCTAAAGTCAAAAAAAGCATCAAAATAAGCGTCTCCTTTCCTTGGGAAAACTAGCTTAGACATTGTAAGTCTTCAATATTTTATTGGTACAGATCCATAAAAAGATCAAAGAATTTGGCTGAAAGCATCATGCTTTCATCAGAAGACCTTGACTATAAGAAGATATTATCAGGGATATCCTAAGGATTTCAGACTATCCTGAAGGCCATTCAATTTTTATTTTATTTTTAAATCATCCTCACATTCTCCCCAGTTCCCTACTTCATTGTTTCTTTTCCTCCATCATTTCTCTTTCCAGATAAGCATAGTAAGTTCCTTTAGATGCTCTTCCAAGGGTCTCCTAGATAGTATCTGTCTGTACAGAAATTATATTAAAATTACTCTTTTCTGAAGACTGCTCTGGGATACTTTGATTCATGTTTTATTACTCCACCCAAAACAATAAGGCAATAGAGTCAAAGACAACAATGTATGAGTTAGGTCAATGGAATTTCCTTATGATTCTTGGTGGGTAACATAGCAGCTTTAAATACAGTCCTGGGTGCTTAGCTGCAAGCATCTTCCAAACTTTGACCATCAGTTTCCATGCTCTACCTGTTCCTAGTCCTACCGTACATCATTACATACACAAGATCCCCCCTCTAGCCCATTCGCCTTGTTTTAAAGGCTACATATTGGAAACAAGATATTTATCATCAGGTTTTAGCCAGAGACAGTTAACTGAGAAACAGAATCAAAGAGGAATCAATCACTCAGTCCAGCAGTCTGTAACCCAGAAGTATAAACAAATCTGTCTTCCAAAGCAGCCTGTTACTGTTAAACATTTACCTGGTAGGTGTTTCGGAAAGCATGAAAAAGGTATTATAAGAAGCCAAATTGCAAAAAAGCATGCAAGAAATGCTATCCACCATGCTCCAAGCCAACGTGGGTCATCTTGATCCATCTTTGTACTGGAAAAATAATTTGGCAAAAGCAGGTTTACCATTCATTAATTCAAATCAGCAATTTCAGATGTCAGTGCAGCTGGAATTCTTTTGTTTTAAAATACTGATTTAACAGAAAGCCTTTGAATATTGTCATTTTCTTGTTTTCTACATGTATTAATTTGTTTGCTTGTTTAAAGCACATTCATCAGCTCTGTTATAACAATATTGCATTCTATCAAATAAAGCTTTGAACTCAGTCAAATTCATTCCGATTTAAAGGCCACTATTTGGCCCTGATTTCAAGATCCTGTAGCATTATTAAGATACTGAAAAAGCTGTTTTTAGAAAGAATCTTCATAATCAAAGTGTTATGTGAAAGCCAATACAGAAGTTGAGAATCCCACTGCATTGATCCGAAGTCCCTAAAACACAGGAAATAAAAGCATAAATGAAGTTGTTGGTTTGGACAGTAGTACAATTTATAACATTATTTTTCTGAGTAGTGGACTACTCAACTGGTAGATTTTCTAGCAAGCTGTTTCCCAGGAGGTAAGTAGCAATATCCTACCCCTCATATCCCACCTCAGGGAAACTTTTTGCACAAGAAATCAATAGTTGCAATCCAACCCTAAATGAGCAACTAATAAAAAAACAAAGCTTTTTTGTTAATCAGCTTTAAAATAGCTAATATCTCAGAAAGCTAGAACTAAGTATTTGCACTACAGAGAAACTCTCACACACAATGGAGTGACTACTCACTGTGGGAGGTAACTCACTTGCTAGAAGCTCTTGTGAATGCAACTTGTTACCAAGTTAAAGAAGCTCTTGACAATGCAGTATTTACCAAACAAAAATATTCCTCAATTTCTCCTCCTCACATGGAGAAAAGCTGAAGATTTTAATAAGAATTATTAGGAAAAGAAAATAGAAAACAAAAGACTAAGTCGTGTCTTGCCTTTCCGGGATCTGGATATCAATATAAATATTAAGTAGCTGCCCTCCTAAGACATAGCCAATAGCAGGACCCAGCAGTGACATGGCATAGCCAATTCCTAGAAAAGAAAATACATCAAGTTCACCATACATTTTTAAAGCTTTCTTTTAAAAAAATTCCTAAATCAACTTCAGACCAATGGTTCCTGTAATTCAGACTGTTCTTTCACTGTCATTACTTCAATATGGCATGTAGAAGACAAAATTTTTTTACTTCTCAACAAGAAAATCTGCAGCTCTCATTAAAAGCTGCAGCTCGGAGGCTCAGCAAAAGACGCTTCACTGACAGCATCTTTATGCATTATTAGATTGCCTTTTGCACATCTTGTGCCTACAAACAGAAGCTGGCTTGTGAAAAAGCTTCTGAAGTGAGGTTGTTACGAGCATCAGTTGTTAATGGTACATGCCCACAGTCTTTAAGAACCTACATATTTATATTTTTATTTTGAGTCTGAAGTTGGGTTTTAGATCTGCCAAGACCAGAAGCCAAGGTTCCATTAAAACTTTTGACTGGAGTAATATCTGCCACTTGAGTTCATTGAGAACTCAATCATATGTGCTTCCATTTATTGATATGGGCCTTAAAATACAAAGCCAGGGCTATTAACAGCTCCTGACAGTTCTAAACAAAAAAAAAAAAAAAAAAAAAAAAACCAACCACAAACCCAAAGTTGCAGGTGTAACCATACCCTACTAAAGAGCACTCTTGGGTCTACCCTTTTTTTTTTTGCCTTAGGACAAGATTTTCTCAATGTCACAATAGTCTCCCTGCCTGCCAGCCAGATTTCTGCAGCACTTTAGCACTGCTGGCAGGAGCACTGTCTCTGCAGATAAAGGCTTGCAACTAATAGTAACTACATCTGTCTAAATAATTGGTAAGACATGCATCCTTACTGCTGATATTCTATGCTTTTCCCCACGTTGAAGAATCTGGATTTCTCCTTTGTTTCCAAAGAACCTGGATGCTGAGTATTTAGTATTAATTCACTCCCTTTAGACAGCAAAAAGGAATGATGGGGGGGGTTGGGAGGGGTGCAAGAGGGGGAAGGAACATAGAAGGGGACACTCAAGTTATCAGTAAGTCAAAATAAATATTGAGTTCACATATCCCAGGTTTTTCTGTATTTTGGAAATAATTACATGCTCATAGGATCTTTCTGAGTTAAGTCCACATTCATCCCATAGAACTTCAAACCTAGCTTAGAAGATGCCTATTTCCTCCTACAGAGGATTCAGTTCAAACTACCATTTGGAATTGCTTAACTTTTCATTGGCTTTAGATGTAGATACCTCAGTTCAGCAAGAGGAGAACAGTCCTCATGAAAACACACCCAGTTTCAGAAGAGAAAGAAACTACCAGCTTATGAGTTGCAAGCTTATAATCTAAGATGCTAGCAGCTATTTACAGAAACTAGCAGAAAGTTTTAGGGATTTTTTTGCTGCCTTGCACAAGCCTTCTTGCATTAGGCAAAGCAATGCAATATATTTTAAATCCTCAGTACATTGCATAAAAGCAAGAAAAATAATTAAGGCTTAATGTAGCTACCTGTCCACTCACTTGCCTTCTAGTTTTGTTGTATTAAGCAGAATACACTGTTTTTCTGAACTCAGCAGTTGTCTGAAGAGCGCACAAGCATTAATTTATTGTATTGGTCTGTTATGTTTTAAGTACAAATGCTGACACCATTCTCCTAAGTTTTCAGGCCACTTCTTGATCCCCTAATCATGCAGACAGCCTTAATTCTGCTCTATTTATTTCACTGGCCTCAGAAAAATGTGTAATAATCTTCTCTCTCACAAAAAACAAATGGCAAAAATAAAAGCTGTTATTTAAGATTTAACATACACAACTATTCTATTTGTTGGCATCAAATGAAGTGGCTTGCCTGCAACAATTAAGCAAGAATTGTATGCAAATAGATGATGATTTCAATTTTGCCCCCTAAAATATTGATTTAGTCTGGAAAACAGTCCAGGAATCTAAGATGCTTTGAATTCCTACTGCGAGTTATCAGTATAGATAACATACTTTTATCAGCTTACACCTAAAATGGGGAAAATAGCAAATATCTTCATACCCATAGAAAACACATTTAGACTGCAACGAACTTGGCAGTAAAAATGCATATAGCCCAGAGAATGCTGCCTGGAAAGATTAAAAACCACTGCTAAGAACTAGTATTCCTTAGCTTTCAAACAGCTCCACAACAAGACAAACACATTCTCCATGTTTCCAGGCAATCCCTTTACTTTCAATTAAGGAAAGATACTTCCAGTATTTCCTCCTGAAGTGCCAAATTTGTATGTGGCTAGAGAACTGCATTGATCTCATGATGGACAGAAGTGTCCTGTACTGAGGGGACAGCCTACTGTTAGAAGTTAACTAAAACTGTTAAAGGATATAGTAAGGTGTGGCTACTGACCTGATATACAGTATTTTTCAATACCTGTGACAGTAAAAAGCAAATTTTTGCTACAACTTATTCTGTTGTTAACAGGCATGCTACATTAACCACTTCATCACTTCCAGTTACTGACATGAAAAAACAGCAGGAGAGGTGCACAAAGTAGCCTTTGCAAAATAACTATTGAGAAGACTTTACACTTAAGCAGACTAATACCTAACTTGCACAGTAACTGATACAGAAACACTTTATGCACATAAGTAAACAATGACAACACTGATTTAATTAGAGGAATTCACAAAAGCATTTGTAAGGCATTGCAGTTTATGATCTACCCAGACAATGTGCTATTAACAGTTTTAAAAGTTACCTATATAAAGGGAAGACTTGTGTTTTGGGACACTATCATCAATAAAAGCTGTCCCCAAAGTATATAGCGGAGTTCCTCCAACTCCCAGCAGCAGCTGTCCCAGGATAAAGACATACAGATAGTTGGGAAGTGAAGACTTTGCGCTGGCACTGCAAGTGAAGTTAGCAGAGCTTGTTCCTGGAATTTGACACGTGTCTGAAAGACAGAGACAGGAAGACTTTAAAATTCTGCTACCCAGCTCATCACAGTCCAACTGAAAAAAACCTGTTCTGAAAGCTAAACTACATATGAAGTGCTGTTAGTGCTAGGCTCCCATTTTAATTTTCAGGCCTACTAATATATCCTATATGACCGTGCCCTAACCTTTATGATATCATATTCCCCCAAAAGAAATACTATCACAGTTTGGTTTTTGTTTCCTTACCAGGAAGGAAAGATGGATGAAATAGCCTTATTAAAACGTTTTTGCTTGTTGAAAGCCACATTGACCAGATGTATGCAAAAAACTGTTAAATGGTCATTCAACAGGTTACTGAATGTTCCCAGGTAACAGACACTTCATTTTGTTCTTGTACCTTATAACGATTCTGAGGAGCACTAACAACTTCCATTCTCAAGTGACAGAGTAGCCTGAATGACCTGAGGAAAGCTGGACAGCTGGAGAGGAAAGTGCAGTCAGCAGAGTTGCAAGCAAAGATAATCCTCCCTTCTCACACACTGTTTTGAGAAGCGTTTCGCTAAAAAAAAAAAACTTAAAAAAACCACACCACTATCTCTCATAGAGCACACACTGCCATATCTCCAGAATGAGAAGTTAATGTAAAGCCTCTGTACTTGTCCACACACACACACAAAGAGGGAAGCAGAGGTAGAACAGCCTAAGGTTGTGCCTGCCCCTGTAATGTTTGGCACTATGAGAAGGGAAGAGAAAAGAGGAAGCGAAAACAGGGAGTATGTTTTCTCTTCTCCTTCTTCTTCCTATCATTGCACTTTTAGCAGCAGACAGTCCCAAGTGACAAGATCAAGAAGAGGAGCATGGTTCTTTCCAGGTTTTTCCACAGAAGAGCATACAACCCTAAGGAAGAGGTTGGTGGAAAGAGTTTGGTGGAAACAAGCCAGACTGAGCAAATATGTGAAAACACCCTTCAGATCAAATGAGTAGACTGATTAATTCTCAATACTTTGCTATTATATCGGTTTTTTCAGGTCCTTTTACATTTGAGAACACTTTTTACTTAAGCAAAAAAAGGGCAAGCTTGTCCACTTTGGGCTCACAGGACATAAATCATAAGGAAGTGCTTGCCACACAGCAGATATTTAAAGAGACCTGTCTACCCTGATGTTATCATAAATGCATCCATGGGTTTTATCATGCCTTTCTCCAGAAGGAACAGAACTATAGTGGTTGGTGGAGTCATGTAGCACACAACAGGTGATTCAGTGCTGTTGCACAGAAACTGGACAACATAGAGTGATGGGAAAACTTCACTTCAAGAGGAGGAGTCATTAATTTTTTCCTTCTTTTACACTTAGGAACAATCCTCATTTTAACGCTATACTGAAGCCACATGGGGAACATTTTATTATGAGTAACTACTCTGAAAATTAAAGGGTTTTTGAGTATATTTTCCATTTATTGTCAATCTGCTTTCTTTAGTAATATCCCTCTTTTCTGCAGGAAATTAAGTCTTAAATCAGGTTAACTTTGTACTATTTACATGCACAGCATCTAAAACTGACTACAGAAGGCATGTCCTACATGGCTATAAAAGCCATGTCCTACAATATCTTAACGTACACATATTCATGTACAGCACATATATAGAATATACCTGCAGTTTTAAGTTAGCCTCTAACACCTATTGGGCAAGTCTAAAATAGCATTTAGCTAGTTATTTTACTGTAGTACACAAATGATAGTATTTTGTTAAAATATACACATCAGAAAACAAGTAACGCAGAGCAAGAGAATGCCATGAACGATGTTAAGTGACAAAAGTGTAGCCTAATTTGAGATCTAGAAATAGTGTCATGAAATAAGCAGATTACATATGGTAATGGCAATCAAACTCTGACAGACTGTGGTTCCTCATGAATCCCCATCCCCACACCCAATGACTCAGTTCATGTCAATCTAGAAGTCTGTGCCATTGTGTAACTGATTATAGCCTCTCTCCTTCAGTTTTCTAGCTCTTCAATTTATATGCCCCAGGAAATTTATCCTGACATTGAGATGAGAGAAGCTTATCACACTAGTTTGTTTTCAGAACCACGTAATCAGGTCTAACTACAAAATTAAGAGAACCATCAATATGCACTTTAATACAATTATAATCCTTTTATTTGCATCAGCTATCAGACCTCTTTTTTTTTTTTTAAAAGTCAGCAAGTACACATGCACTTGCTGAGTGGAGTCATGGACCATATTTCATGTTCCCAAGAAATATTTTAAAAGCAAAGACAATTTACCACAAAACTATGAGATTAGTTTAAACGAGCATAAGTCAAAACTGCCATCAAACAACAGTTTACTCTCCCTACCTCAGCCATTCATGTCATCCCCTCCTTGCACCAGCCCAAGGTTTAAGCTGATTGGTAAAGTTACACAGCTTAAATCTAACCTGGATTAAATTCACAAGCCTGTTTGCTGCTGTCATATGAATGGTAGAGGGAAAGCACTGGCTTTTACATGATCAAGAAAGTCTAACTGAGATAAGCCAAGCTCTGGGAGAAGTTTAAGATGGGTGGCTGACCATTTTTAACTACTTTTTTCTCATTAAAGTTGTTTTCCCTTCTCGAAGTCAATGGATTAGACTTGCATTTTAAATAGCAGAACTGCATTAAAGACAACAGCATCCAACAGACTTAATCATTATAAACCTTGTTGCATGCTTTAATCTAACACATCTACCTGAATCCAAGTTATGTAAAGGCCAAAATATTCCCAAATATCTAATGCAACATACTAGCCAAGAAAGCAGAACCAACTGTGAGATGCTTTAGCAATGACATTAATTAGAAGTAAGACAGGTCAAGACTAGTTTTACTCACATCTTAAACTGCAGCTAGTAAGTGTGGGTTTTTTGGGCTTTTGCAGGGCAGGGAATAGTGTAAAGAGGGTTGTGAAGAGTGAGAAATAAAGAACAGCTTGGGTTTTACTCCTTTTTAAACTTAAAGATCTGTCTGCCCTTTAAGTGTTGAATAGGAAAGTCACTCAAAGCTCAATGAACATGCTGAATGAAGACTAAGTTCTTAGTTTCTAAAGGCAGATGTTACAGTATTATAGAACATCTAAGTGATAGTGAGAAATAGACTAAGCAGTGTAGAGAACAGCAGCACTATCCATTATTCGACTAATAAGATAGTTTCTTCAGAGAGCAAAACCAACAGAAAAACCAGACATGCTGATGGAGCAAGACAAAACAGTCAAATTAGAGGCTGGCATCACACATATTCTGTCACCATTAGTATCCAAATGCTACAGTCTTCTTCAATCTTTAATTGTCCTTGGCATGTTCTGGGATGGAAGATCAATCAATGCCCTTCTGAGAAGATTCACTAACTCTCAGACCATAAATGACTTATCCACTACCTGAGTTTCTGGTAGAACAGAGAACTGAAGAAAGGTGTTCAAGTCATTCTCCTTTTTCTCAAATCACATCACACACATTTCAACTCAAATGGCTAAGACTTTGTTAATAACAAAGATATTTCTTTCTTCCAAAGACATCACTCACATCCTGTTACTGAAGAGATTCACGGAATAATTCAGGTTGGTAGAGGCATCAGGGAATCATGTAGCTCAACCTCCTAATCTAAACAGTGTCAAAACCAAATGCAGACCAAGTTGCTCAGGACTTTACTCAGCAGGGTCTTGAAAGCCCCCAGAGATACAGACTGCACAGTCCTTCTGGGTAATCTGTTCCAATGCTTGACTGTCCTCACAATAAACTTATCTTCCTTGTATCAAGTGAAGATCTACATGTCACATTTGCTGTGACAGACATCTTTTACAAATTTAAACATGTTTCAATAAGATCTGAGACAGAAGTTTAAAAGTACATTGCTTATAGCATCTGCAGTTTTTACAGTCCTCTTATGTCTACGGGTAATCAAACACAGAATGGTTTCATTACAGATAAACCACTAGATGGAGCTCCTGACTACAAATACCAAAGCCAGCTGAGACACTGAAGACTATGTAACCTAAAAAAGTTACCAGAACAAATAGCTGGTTATGTCTAGGTTACAAACTTGAGTCTGAAACCTTTCTGGAGATTAGGCAAGATGTGTTTGCTGTGGCTAAAAATTTTTGTACATAGGTAGACCATTGGTTAGCTACTCTTTCAATATGAAATGGATTAAACTATTTCTAAAGAGTGTTACTATGATAAATATTTCCAATGGAATAGTTTTGTAGAGTAGGATATGTATACACTCAGAATAAAAGTAAAGGAAGTACTTCCAGGTAGTCTGTAAGCCTTATACTGGAGGCTAGATGTATTTTGTATTCCACAGTAGATCTATTAATTAACCTGGCAGCCATATTAAATATTGCACTGAACTATGCTTTGAAGTTGTCCTGCAGGTGAAACTCACTGTATTTACATATAACAGATGAACATAAATAATCAAGTAACCAACTAGGAACCGTTCAAAAATAGATTAGGTTGCAGATTTTAATACCAAGTATCAAATAAAAGAGTTTACTCCCAATACATTAAAATCTCTATAAACTACTTACCCAAACAAATAAGCAACAAAGAAGGTTTTTTGAGGTGGGGTGCTATTAAATTCTGCAGCTAAATGTATAGTTAAGATGCTTCATCAACATCAGAACTAGCTAAACCAGACATCCTATAAAATCATGTACTGTGGTTAACTTAACTGTTACAGGCTGCCGTTGCACAGCACCTGCAGATTTACATGGAGCCTGTCATGGTGCAGACATTCCCTGCACTCTGTAGTCATTTATCTTTGACAGTGTTTTGTTTAAGTCAGCTTAAGTCCCTAAATCTGCTCACCACAGCATAGGTACCCGCACTACAGCAGTCAAAACAGCACAAATTCAGTCAGCTTACAGTGCCATAGAGAAGAAAGCACACCTTCCATTTAAAATTTTCCCAAAAAAAAAAGTCCATGCAGAACATGGTATCAACACCTACAGCATCTTTAACGGTGGATGAAGTGGCAGATGTTTGATGAAACAGGAGCAACCAAAATTTGTAGGAAGGGGGAGAGATCATTTGCAATAGTTGGCCATCTCCCTTCAGACTCCCACTCTGTCAGTATCTTGTTTCAATATAAAACCTACAATCAGATTGGAACTCCTTTGTATTAAATTCAGCTTCCCTTCCATACTAGTGAAGTAGGGAGGGTAATACCAAAACTGAAATTGGAGATAAATAGGATTTAATAGAGCCAGGAGCAAGTAATCTATTGCCCCTCTACTAAGGGGTAACAAATAATCATCTGCTCATGGCCTCCAAACACTGAAGAGTTTTTTCTTTTGGCCTTGTTCAGTTAAAAGTTCAATTAACTTCTGCCTCAGATCTTCATTTACTAGATGGGGAACAATAGCTTACCAAAGTTATTTAACTAATGGTGGATGTCTGGACAGCTCATGGAAGTGTGACATGATTAACACTTAAAAAAACTAATTTGAGAATCAACAACCAGAAGACTGAGAACCTTCCATCACATTGCTTAATAGCTACTGATTTTTTTAGTGAGCACTCTAATATGCTTAGTCATTGAAGGCATAAATCTGATTAAACACTGCAATAACAATTAAGACAATCCTAAAAGATTAAGTCATCCTGCTTTAAAGATATCTGGATGTTTCTTTATTAGTTACAGGTATGCCACTAAGCTGAGATGCAAATAGTTGGCATGAAGCACACTGCACTTAAAGTCTTGTTTTATGATAAAAGATATGTAAGATCTGAGAGCTGGCTACTCCCAGTACTGCTTTGTTCAGAATAGTTCAGTAGTGCTTGTTCTCTCTTCATTTCAAAGAGACCCACGAGTTTTAATCAACGTTTCAGAAGAACTAGTGAAATTGTTAATTAATTACTCAAGATGCCTTTAACATTTCAAAACCCAAAAGAACTGCAACGTTATCACCTTTCAACAAGAAAGTTAAGTCTAACAGCCTTCTTTTAACATTTATTCTACATCACTGACCTAACTTGCATTCCTATTCACAACAAAATGCCAGATCATTTTTTACTCAAAGTGATTATAATTGCATTCATCAATGCAAGTCAAAAAAGCATTTTATTCAAGTGTTGCTTATGACCAAGAACTGATATTGACACTCAGATCTCTTCCGAAAAAGAAAGTTCACTATGCAGAGAAACAGCTCTTGAACTTACAGATTTCACAGAATCGTTTTATTTTCAGTGTTAGAGATAATACCCTATTTTTAGGACCTCAACAGAGATTAACTGTTATACCAAATGAAGAGTTGCACCAAGTCACTATAGAGATTTTTTTTTTTTAGTCATTTTCAAAACATAAGGATAAGCTTACCTTCAAGTTTAGCTCCATAGTGGTATTTTCCACTACTGAAGTGTGGTAAGGAAAATATAAGTGAGCCCAATCCTAGCATAAATGCTGAGAAAGCAAGCCATCGTGGTTTGTGCCCTCTTTCTCCAACAAAAGATACAAACAGTGACAATATACAAAAAGCAATGTCGTAGCTTGCAGAGATTAAGCCAGTGAGGGAACTGTTCAACTCATAACGCTTCTCAATTGTTGAAATACTAATGTTAATCAGGCCATTTACCACAATACCTACAAAAAAAAAGGAGATAATTAGTCAAAGATACTTTAATTTGATAAAGTTACAAGGGTAAACTTACCATTGTGTGATGGAAGGGTTAAAATGAATATATTTACAAAGCTACATTTTAAAGTATTTATTAGCTTTAAAATCCAGGTATATAGTGGGTTGATACCATGCCAACTTCAGCCAGCCAAACTGCACAGGACCTCTTCAATTTTGTTCTCTCCTGCGGGCATTAAGATTCAACACTCAAGTATTAAGCCCGCGAAATACCATGCTTCAAACTCCATTCATATATTAAGGTTCCAGATTCAGCCTGAAGCACAGACAGATTTCAAACAGAACGCATTACAGTGTCATAAGATACTGTACAAATTAAATTAGTTAAGGTTATGACTTGCATTAGAATACAAGCTACGACTGAAGCAAGTTCAGGACATAGCTTTCAAATCATGATTGTCAAACAAATATCATTTCTTCCCTGCCATCACAAAGGGAAGATACAAGAAGGCTTTTGAACAGACATCCTTCCCTACAATATAAAAAAGTGTAAAGGTATTTAAAAATACTTTCCAACTGTTTAAGAGCAACTGAGGTGATTTACTTTAACTGAGAAAAAAGTTTGCTTTCTGAATCTTGAAGTTCCCTGAAGCAGAAGTATCAAGACAACCTGGAGAAAAAGGTCTTGCATAAGCTGCCCTACTTATGCACAGGTGAACTCCAAAAAAATGATCCAAAAGTAGAAGCAAGTAAGCTGCAATTGCCAGTGCATGCTTATACACACTTTTTTTACAAAAGTGTTGTTTGTAGATACTAATTTGAATCTCCCATCCTGCCTCACATTCTGATTGTATGTGAAACACGAAGCAGTTAAACTTACAGGAGTTTACTTTTAACAGTCCCCAGATAGGTTTCTGTTACAAGTGAGATGAATAGCTGTACTTCGTAACAGTATCAGATAACTTCAAGGTAGTCTAATTAAACTGTGCCCGTAATAAAATATATACCCTGGAAAAAAGTTAGGAAGTCTTGGAGTCACAGTTGCAAATAAGATTAAGAGTTCTGTAACCTCACAGATGACTGATGAGCATCTCTCATGACACAGGCCCTACAGTTATCCTTCCTCTTTCTAAAATTCAAACACAATTCTCTACTGTCATTCCAAGAACAGAACAGGCTGACTCCTGTTCTTACCTC